ATTAAGTGGGTTATGGAAGCGAGACTGCTATAATGTCCTGGACGAAACCTTCCTGAAAATTGGAGGGAGTCACTGTACTGGTAGTTAATGGTGATCACGTCGATATCTCGCTGATGTTTGTTAATACCTCTAGAATTGGGGCTTCGGTTTCAATGTTAGATAGGGATCCCTTTGCTATGGGTACAAAGGTTGATAAGTTTAATGTCTAATGTATGTTTTTTGTAGTTCGCTGGCTCTTGCTACTTTGGATCTAATATGCTCGGGCCTCCTGTCAAGGCGGCTCCGGAGCTGTAGTCCCATAGTGTGTGTGATGTGAATAGCTTCTTTAGTGTCAGCGGATTAGGTGGCAGCACTTGCCGTTGGCAGATAAGGTAGCAGCAGGTTCATGTAGGTAAATGCGAGGTAGTGGGGACTTATCTGAACTTGCCTATTAAGCGGGAGTGGACGTGAGTGCTACCCTTTCTTCACAGTAACGTCGTAGAAATTGCGCCCTGTTGCAGGTACTATACAACTATACCTTTTCAAAAGCTGCAGCCTACCAACTGGCGCCGTTCCGGTAAACATATGTTTGGAATCTCTGGAGGCCAATAGATTTACATCATCATTCCCAAAACGGTCACATGGCTTCTCATTGTGAACAACAGTTTGTTCATTGCCTCCAAATAAAATCAAGAACAGGCTGAATATTATTAAATTTACAACTAGAAGAGATGGTTAATGATAACCTTCCTTACCTCAAGGTACAAGACAGACACCTCCAGTTCAAAATATACCGAACTATACAAACAAAACACTCATGATACTACTCACACAATGACCGAAGCCTCATACGAGGTGCATGAATTGGTAAATTCTTCCATACCTTCTGAATCTCAATCCCTGAATATCTAGAGAAAGAAAACGACATTCCAAAAGACAACTTCGAGAAGCTAAAACTTCTTGCAAACATCATCCGGGACTGCAGTGATCCTCCACTACACATCTTCACTTCACCGAAACTAGAAACAACTAGTCTTCTTAAAGGCAACATAGCAGGATATGTTACACCAACCGTATCCAAGAGCAATGTAAATATTGCAACTGTCACATCCAGTACCATCAACCACATGACATATGATGAAAGTTAAGACACTTGTGCAACATCTGGTGTATACCTGTCTTGCACAACATATGACATATGGCGGTTATGATAAGAAATAAGTGAGAGAGAACTCCGGTAGACTACAGATCAGCGTCCCTGCAAGACACATGAACAATGGCTGGGTGATATATAGGGACCAGACTGTCCACTTGATAACCTGGTAGGAGGCACGCCCAGCTGGTCGTAAAAGAAATGGACAAAACACGACACAGATGCCTTGACGTTGCGCTAACCAAAACAGAAAAGAGTGCAGCAAAATCAAGGAGCTCTTAGTTAAGCTGAACGTTTAGCATAACTTCTAGAAAATGTCATCGGAGAGGCCGGTGGGCCTCTTGCAGTGATTTTTTCTCGCAATTCATCCCTCACATTGACCTCAATGACTTGATCATTCAATGTTTACGCTTGAATATAGTTATTTGATGTATATATCTGTGTATTGACTGAACAAGTCTGCTCACGGGGAAAACTTTCAAAGTTCCTCTCTAAAGGATTTTTTCACTACTGAGAGAGGTGCACAAGACAGGTGAGAAGTGACAGGTGATGTAAAGATTCCAGTTACTGCTAACCTAAGCTGACTCAGGTAGATAAAACAGGTGGAATGAGGTGATAAATGATACACACATTCCCCTCTCTAATGAGACAGGAAAACAAGACGTGAGTGTGGGTGATGAGAGACCCTAGAATTCCCTCACTTCTGACCATGGTGAATAAGACAGGTGAGGGAAGGAAACAAGGTGACGCAAATTTTTCACTTCACTTGTGACCCAGGTGAACAAGACAGGTGAGGGGAGTGATGGTAACATCAGAGTGCCAAGGCGCTGCCTTCCACTAACACTCTTCACAAAATCCAATTACTGAGAATTTGTCCGAAAAGCGTTCAGCGACACACACTTGTGTTGATGGTCATTCAATAAATTCCCAGAGGGTTGCCAGGGTCCCCTCTGTCTAGTGGCTGTTTTTGGTGCTCTCTATTGTGACTGTTGTTGTTGCTGCTCTGTCTAGTGACTGTTGTTCCTACTTTGTCTTGTGACTGTTGTTGCTATTCTGACTAGTGACTGTTGTTCCTGCTCTCTCTTGTGACTGTTATTGCCGCTCTCTCTTGTGACTATTGTTGTTGCTTCACTTCTCTCTTCTCTCTCTCTGACTGTTGTTGATACTCTTCTTATATTGTCGATGCTCTCTCTCTTCACTCTCTCTCTCTCTCTCCTCTCTCTCTCTCTCTCTTCTCTCTCTGTAGCTACTGTTGTTGCTTTCTCTCTTTAACTGTTATTGCTTTTTTTTACACAGGGTTTGACAAGGTTAAGGATCCCTAGCTTTATTAACAAGTTATTTACAGGTTAAGGATTCCTAACTTTATTGGCAAGCTAAGAGCTGTTACCTACATCAGCTCATTTGAAAGCATTTTTATTGTTATGAGACATACAAGTAGGGAACAGGATGAAGTTGGAGCCATCTGTGGGCCAGCATTTTCATTTGATCAACTGACTTTATCTCGTTGACATCATTATGCTGTACGAATGTGTTCCATACTCGAGTCATCCTGGGTATATATGATCTCAGATGGAGTGATGTTCTGGAGAAGGGTACAGCCAGAGTGAAGTTGCTGCTGGCTGCTCGTCTTGTGGTATAGACGCTTGCTTCACGCTGTCCTCGAAGTGGATCCAAGTGTGGTACTTTGACAATATTGGCCTTGTACATGACAGTAAGGCCACCCACATCCCTCCTGTGTTGAAGGCTCTGCTGAAATGACAGATCTATCCAGGATTGGTCCAGGTGAGAGATGAGACGTCTTGCTCTGTTCTCTACTCTGTCAAGCAGTCGCAGATGAGAGGGGGAGGGGAAGGCAAACCAAGAAAGTGGAGCATACTTAAGGTGTGAGCGTACTTGTGCCTCGTACAGAATCCTACAACCCCTACTGTCAAGCAGATGTGAGATACGGCGAAGTGCTCTCTTCTCTCTCTCTCTCTGACTCTTTTCTCTCTCTCTCTGTGACTGTGTATTCTCTTTGATTGTTTCTCTTTCTTCTCTTGGTGACTGTTATTGCGCTCTCTCTTGTGACTATAATTTTCTTACTCTTGTTGCTGTTCTCCATTCGATCTTGTCGCTGCTTATTCAGTTACTGACGTATATTCTTTTCTGTTAACTCGTTCTTGTTTCTTATGACTATTATTGTTTTTCCATGTGACTTTTGTTGCTGTTCTTATTTTGTATCTGTTACTGCTCCTATATTTGTCATCTGTTATTCCTGTTGCTGTCTCTGGTGACTGTTACCGTCTCTCTCTCTCTTCTGACTGTCACGGAAGCTGTTGACATAGACGCACAAAGTACCTAGATGGAGAAAGTTGAGTTAATCTCCGATGCGTCTGTGTCAAGCACTTAAAATCTTATAGGACGAAGTAAATAACACATCTGAATGTCATAAAGGTATTGTTAGAACCTTACGTATGACAAGAACGTACATGGGAAGATTTACAGATCAACCGGAAATGTAAACAGAGATGTGGTAATAGGGGTGTAAGGCTTGGTTAACAAGGACTTCTGGGACCTTGGCTTGTACACTGATAATGATGAAGATAGATGTAGGTTATGTGGCCAACGTTATGACTACTTTCTTTAATACTAATGAGTTTGATGGCCCATTTAGTGAGGATTATAAAGATTGATTGATACATTATGTGATTTATCATTGCTGTTGCTGCTTCTCTTTCTCTCGTTACCTTTGATGCTCTCTCTCTTTCTTCCAATCTGTCTGGCTGTCTGTCTGTCTGTCTGTCTCTCTCTCTCTCTCGACTGATGCTGCTTCTCTTCCTGGTTAATGTTAAAACAGAATTACCGAAAAATTGTAAAAAATGGCTTTGCAATTTGCGTTTAATATACATAGATATAGATAAGTTCGGTGCGTCTAAATACCTGCCACGCCTTGCAACTTCTCGTTATCCTGCATTTGAGTTTATTTTACCGTAACACTGAAAATTTATGGGGTTTATGGAGGTCAGTCATGTCTTCGTAGTTTGTAGGGTAAATTCTGTTACTTTATATATCAATGGTTTGAAAATTTCCCTGTCACTGACCTTACCTGGATGTTACCTGGAGAGAGTTCCGGGGGTCAACGCCCCCGCGGCCCGGTCTGTGACCAGGCCTCCTGGTGGATCAGAGCCTGATCAACCAGGCTGTTGCTGCTGGCTGCACGCAAACCAACGTACGAGCCACAGCCCGGCTGATCAGGAACCGACTTTAGGTGCTTGTCCAGTGCCAGCTGAAGACTGCCAGGGGTCTGTTGGTAATCCCCCTTATGTATGCTGGGAGGCAGTTGAACAGTCTCGGGCCCCTGACACTTATTGTATGGTCTCTTAACGTGCTAGTGACCTTAGAAAGAATTTATTGCAGAATGCAATTGTAGTGGTCGATCAATAAATTGACAACAATGTAATAATATGGATAATGATACTGGTAATATCTTCATTACTACCAGTACATGTACAAGGTATACAGACCATAGCTGACATCAATGACATACTACTATATAGAAAACCGCTTGTTATGCTGAGCGTTTCGGGCAAATTAGGTCAGTTTGGTCCCAGGATGTGACCCACATCAGTCGACTAACACCCAGGTACCCATTTTACTGATGGGTGAGCATAGACAACCGCCCAATCTTTGAACCCTCGCCGGGAATCGAACCCGAACTCTCACCGTGTGAAGCGAGAGCTTTTGCCACCAGGCTACGGGCCACCTTGATAAAATTAGTTCGTAAAATATACCACAGAGGGCGGTCATTTCATTTTTAAGTACTTGCAACGTTTTAAAACAGGAATACTAATAAATATTTAATTATTAAAGAGTATATTTTCTCGGACAGGAGGAGCTACTCAGAGCACAAGACTGGCAACGATCAAGGACCAGGAGATACAACTGCTTCAGCCTTGGATGATGTTCCTGGTGCAGCAGGCGATGTCACTCTTGCAGTGGACAAGGTTCCTTCTTACGGTAGTGCCGACAAACAGAGCGTCGGAAGCAGAGGTAGTGAAACAACTAATTCGAAGTTGGCACCAGAGGCTGCCACTCACAGCTCTCCTCCTCCTGAAGGGCTACGAGTCGGTAGAAGTAACGTTGATGGTGTTGGAGAGAGCAACAGCGGCGAAAATAGCAAAAACATCAGTCAGAGTTCCAGAAATAAGCAATACAAGGTAGGTACTAGCACCCTGATATATGCACGCACACACTCTGGTAGATGACTGGCTGTAGAATTACACGAAACACCGAACAGAGGGAAAATCAAACTAAACTACCAGGCCCAGAGATGCATCCCAACCCTCACAAGCCACTCCAACTCACCTATGTTACTCTAGTACACATATACCTCCCTCTAACTCCATGCCACACGCTATCCCAAATCATTTTGATCAAGCTTACCTCACAACCACTTCCATCACCACACATTTACAAGATTTTGCTGGTTAAATGGGACTGGAACGTCGTCCTAAGTTTGTTTCACATACGTGAGTTGTTTGTGTAATGTTGCAGTCACTGTATTGTGACTGTTGTGTTTACTGTAATTATCTCCTCCACCCACACTACACCCTCACTCCACCCACACTACACCCACACTACACCCACACACTACACCCTCACTCCACCCACACTACACCCACACACTAACCACACACACACCCTCACTCCACCCACACTACACCCACACTACACCCACACTACACCCACACTACACCCACACTACACCCACACTACACCCTCACTCCACCCACACTACACCCACACTACACCCACACTACACCCACACTACACCCACACACTACACCCACCACTCCACCCACACTACACCCACACTACACCCACACTACACCCTCACTCCACCCACACTACACCCACACTACACCCACACACTACATCCACACACACTACCCACACACTCCACTCTTACACTCCTCCCACATACTCCACCCACTCTACACACACTACACCCACAACACTACACCCACCACTACATCCCCACACACTCCACCTCTACACCTCCCCACAACTCCACCCACACACTCCACCACACACTCCACCCACACTACACCCTCACTCCACCCACACTACACCCACTCTACACCACCACTCCACCCACACTACCACCCTACACTCCACCCACACTACACCCTCACTCCACCCACACTACACCCACACTACACCCCACTCCACCCACACACTACACCCACCACTCCACCCCACACTCACCCTCACTCCACCCACCACACACCCTCATCCACCCACACTACACCCACACTACACCCACACACTACATCCAAACTCCACCTACACACTCCCCCCACACACTCCACCAATACACTCCACCCACACACTTCCCCCCACACACTCCACCCACACTCCACCCACACACTCCACCCACACACTTCACCCACACACTCCACCCACTCTACACACACACTGCACCCACACACTCCACCCTTACATTCCACCCACATACTCCACCCACTCACTTTACCCATACATTCCACCCACACATTCCACCCACACTCCACCTACATACTCCACCCACACACTCCACCCACACACTCCACCCATACACTCCGCCCACACACTTCACCCACACACTCCACCCACACTCCACCCACACACTCCACCCACACACTTCACCCACCCACTCCACCCACTCTACCCACACATTCCTCCCACACATTCCATCCATACATTCCACCCACACACTCCACCACCCACTTTTACCCACACATTCCACCCACACATTCCACCCACATACTACACCCACTCACTTTACATGCACATTCCACCCACAGACTCCACCCACCACTTTATACACACATTCCACCCACACATTCCACCCACACACTCCACCCACTCACTTTACCACACATTCTACCCACACATTCCACCTACACATTCCACCCACACACTCCACGCACATACTCCACCCACTCACTTTACCTAGACATTCCACCCACCCATTCCACCTACACATTCCGCCCACATACTCCACCCACTCACTTTGCCCACACATTCCACCCACACACTCAACCCACACTCCACGCACATACTCCACCCACTCACTTTACCTACACATTCCACCCACCCATTCCACCTACACATTCCGCCCACATACTCCACCCACTCACTTTACCCACACATTCCACCCGCAGACTCCACCCACATACTCCACCCACATACTCCACCGACTCACTTTGCTCACTCATTCCACGCACACATTCCACCCAAACACTCCACCCATATACTCCACCCACTCACTTTACCCACACATTCCACCCACACACTACACCCATATACTCCACCCACTCACTTTACCCACACATTCCACCCACAGACTCCACCCACATACTCCATCCACTCACTTTACACACACATTCCACCCACACATTCCACACACACACACACACACACTCCACCCACATACTCCACCCACTCAATTTACCCACACATTCTACCTACACATTCCACCCACTCCGCCCCCACACTCCACCTACTAGCAGCCCAACACTACTAGAGCCACCTTCACTCCTACTGCCGTTGTCATATGTTGGAATGATTAGAGTCGGATGTGGGAGTGGTTGTAGTGGTTATAGTGTGAGATATGGGTGTGTGGAGGCAAGAATGATGGTTTTGTGCATGTAGGGAGGACGGAGGTTGGGGGGGTACGAAAGTGTGGGAGGGAATGTGTGGTGCCCCGTGGCTTGGTGGCTAAAGCTCTCGTTTCACACGGCGAGGGTCCGGGTTCGATTGCTGGCGAGGATAGAAACATTGAGCCTGTTCCCCATCAGTAAAATGGGTGCCTGGGTGTTAGTCGACTGGTGTGGGTCGCATCCGGGACAAAACTGACCTAATTTACCCGAAATGCTCTGCATAACAAGAGGCTTTCTATATAGTAGTATGTCATTGATGTCAGCTATGGTCTGTATACCTTGTACTTATATATAAATATTATAATGATGATATGGAGGGGAAGGGTACGAAAGTGTGGGAGGGAATGATGGTATGGACTGTGAGTGTGTACGTGGGCAAGGATGGTTTTGGAGAGTGTGAGATGGGGCTTTATGCAGTGGTATGATGGCGTGTTGTATTGTAAATAATGGTGTGGTGGTCGGTTGTGGACAGGGAGTGATTGGTGTGGGATGGCATGGTCTTACGACTTTGGCTGCGTAATTTAAATGAAAAGTTCTGGCTCCTAAAGGCTGCTAGGACCAGCATTTACCTTCATACAAATTACAAAGCATAAATGTAAATAGTTAATATAGTATAGGGAAGGGCACAAAACATCACCTATACAAATATATATATATATATATATATATATATAATATATATATATATATATATATATATATATATATATATATATATAAACAGTGATCTCTGGCCGAAGGAGACTCGAACCTACGAACCTTGGAACAAGGTACGCAGTGCTTTACCATTCTTACCACACTGGACCAATAGCTTGGCGCTCAGCTCACGCTAGACGTTGATCCAAGGCAGCCAGCTTTCAGGGAGAAGGCTTACAGCTTTTCATCTCATCCCCTGCATGCATCGACCAACTAGAAATTTTAACAATGCAAGGAATTCGCAAGAGCAGTCGGTGTATGGATGGTTACATGCTGTTGTTAGTAGTATGGAATATATGAACGAGTGAGCTCTGGGTTTGGGTTGTGGATATGGAATTGTGGATATTGAAGGCTTAGAGCAGGGAGTTGGGGTATTGAGGAATTAGTATTTGATGTTGACGAACAGTGTTGTACACTGAGTGTTAGGCCGAGTGCACAGCCTCAATGGAACAAAGAATAAACTTTTTCTTGAAATGTTATTTAGTTCACTGCATTGTGATAAGATAAGCACCGCATATTGCATATACCACAGAGGTTGCAAAACTATAAATTACAAATTAGACGCACTAAAATAACGTATTCATAACTGCATTATGCAATCTGCAGCTTCTCATAGTAAGATAAATAGAGTACCTAGGGAGCAATGGTTATAATTATAGCCTTAACGTTTAAAAGGGTGGATAGGTAAGCCAGTGAAAGGCCTCGGTCAGATGACAAGAAGCTGCAGTGGTCCCTTCAGAAAACATTTGCCCTCTTCCCTGACAAATCTCACATAGTACCTCGTTCGAACTGACGCTTCTGTACCTAGCTAATTCTACCCTTAACCCTAAATCCTTTAAAAAATATTTGCTTCATTTGGTTTAATGAATATTTTGGAAAAGTTAAGCAACCGTGGCCGAGGTAGTAGTAAATGATGATTATAATCTGTTTGCAGAAGGCGAAGGCGACGGACATGGACGAGGTGGGCGGCCTCCGACGAGCTTCGAGAGACCTGGGCCTCAACGCTTACACCCGACAAGGTGAACTTCGAATTTATATATAAGATATATATATATATATATATATTTATATATATATAAATATAAAATATAATATATTTTATTATTTTTTTTATTATCACAACCGGCCGATTCCCACCAAGGCAGGGTGGCCCGAAAAAGAAAAACTTTCACCATCATTCACTCCATCACTGTCTTGCCAGAAGGGTGCTTTACATATATATATATATATATATATATATTTAAAATATATATATATATATATATAATATATTATATATATATATATTATATATATATATATATATATATATATATATATATAATATATATAATATATATATATATATATAAAATATTATATATATATATATATATATATATATATATATATAGTTATATATATATTATATATATATATATATATATATATATATATATATATATATATATATTATGACGTGCCGAATAGGTAAAACTGGTCAATTATCAATAACTCATTTAAAATTAAGTCCTTTCTAAAAATTTCTCTTATACGTTTAAAGATATATTTTTTCATTTACGTTTGTATATAAATTAATGATTTTGTACCAAAAGAACCTTGGGAAACTTACCTAACTTTATTGTGGCAAACGCAATTTAATTTTCCCTAATCCAACTAAATATATTTTATATAAGTTTACAATAATTTAATAACAAACACAATGGAATATTTTCTTTTCTTTAGGTTCAGCATGATTTTTGTGAAATTATTACATACACAAATTTTCACTTTCCTTATTCGGCAAGAAGAGCGTTGCTATTTAAACCAGAGTCGCAAGTTTTAACTGAAGAAGAAAGTAGAGGAGAGAGAGATTTTGGGAGATGTTAAGTGAATATTTAGAATTTTGATCCAAGGAAGAAACGTTTATAGAGGGCGTGGTAGGTAAATATCGGGTGACAGAGGTAAATAATGATGGGGGCCCTTTGATTAAATTTTGTATAGAAAAGGTTTGGTAATAACTAATACATATTTTAAGAAAAGAAAAAAACGTAAGTATACGAGATATGGTATAGAGCTTATATTGACAGTAGTTTGCTAGACTATATATTGGTAGAAACACGACTGTTGGGTAGATTTCAGGATGTGCATGTTTATAGAGCGGCAATAAATATGTCAGATCATTTTTTAGTTGTAACTGGTGAGAATAAAAGGTAGATGAGATACAAGGAGAATGTCATCAGCAAGTAGGAGAGGTGAAGGTCTTTGAACTAAGGGAGGAGGCAGTTAATTTGAAATATAAGCAATTATTGGTAGAAAGATGGGCTAGTGAGAGTATAGGCAGCGAGGTTCAAGATATATGGGTAGTTTTAAGAATGTAGTGTTAGAGTGTACAGCAGAGGTGTGTGGTTATAGGAGAGTGGGTGTGGGAAGGAAGAAGAGCGATTGTTGGAATGATGAGGTAAAAAGAGTGCTAAAAGTGAGAAAGATAATATATTAGAGGGTTTTTGCAAAATAGAAGTGATGCATGGAGGGAGGAGTATATGGAGAGAAAAAGACAGGTTAAGAGAGTGGTGAGGAATTTTAGAAAAACAAATGAGAGAGTGGGTGAGATGCTGTCAACAAAGACTTAGTGCTGGAAAACAACACTTAGTGAAAGTAGGTCACGCCTATAGGTTAGGCTAGATCTCAACAATTCCCTGCATCAAAATCCCAAGATGTTGCTATGTCTCACTGAATTTGAATAAATAATGCAGAGAATTTTTCAAATCTTGCCTGACCAATAGGCACGACCTACGTCTACTCCTACTTCTATTCTCCCTTCCCGGAGAGACTCCGCCCGGTCAGGGCAGCATGGAAAACCCCAGTTGTCCAGCCTCCAGCATGAAGTAGAGCCCTCACCACTAAGCAGCAGCTTTGTCCAGAGAAGGTTACAGTATCAGGGAACCCAGGACCACTTCCCCGGCCACAGCGGCGGAGGAAACCGAAAAAACGTCAATGACAAGGTCACATCCTTCTTCAGCCGGCTCCCGATACTTCTGCTCAAACTCACACCCCACAACGCAGCCAGCAGGCCCCATGCTGCAGGAATAGACTACCGTCAATGAGTCTACCCTAACATCTACAACAGTCACCAGTGAAGAGTAATATAGTCCAAGGAAAAAGAGCATGCCTTGCTGTATTACCCTTGAGCCATCAAATGATGTCGACAATCACAACCTTCTCTGAGAACATATGCGACGTGATAGACTCGGTAGACAACAATGAGATACTGAGAACTATTGTGAAAATCGTTTTGAATATATGCATTATGTGTTTATTGGCAAATGTACTCGACCACCCAACACAGGGCCCAGAGACAATCATAGGAGCCCTGATGTACTCAGTTCACTGTAGCACATAAAATATTTTGCCGTAGAATGCACAAGGACAACGGCAAAACCCTGATCACGGCCACACAACTGCTGAATTAGATCAACATATATTCCCAAGTAAAGATGCTATGAATTATTATGTGAGAAATTACCTGCGTGAGGTTTACAGAGCAGTAACTGAATTATTATGTGCAAGTAATTTGGGCGGGGTAAGTGGGACTTAGTCACAGTAGGTCACAGAACTGTCACTCCCTCGATGCCCACTCCATTACCACTCTCACAAAAAGCTTGACCTGACATTAAATTACTAATTGCAATATTAAAAGCAGCTACTTTAGTAAATTAAAATTGTGTGGAATATATGTTTTGGTTTACTTGCTGGGTACACAAAATATAACTATTAGTAAAATACATATAATGCAATAGTGTTATTAGAAAAGAAATTCGTATTCGTAATGTCAGAGGATCTCACCTTCAAAGACCACAACAATGTACCAACCGCATCTGCTAGGAAAATGATAGGATGGATAATGAGAACCTTCAAAACTAGGGATGCCAAGTCGATGATGATTCTCTTCAAATCATTTGTTCTCTCTAGGTTGGAATACTGCTGTACACTAACTGCAGGTGAAATTGATGACCTGAAGATTGTACAAAGAACTTTCACAGCACATATAAGTACGATATGGCACCTAAATTACTGGGAATGGTTGAAGGCCTATTATTTGTATTCCGTGGAATGCAGGCGAGAAAGATACATGATAACATTCACTTGGAAAATCCTAGAGGGATTAGTACTAAACTTGCACACGAAAACCACTCCCTATGAAAGCAAAAGACTTGGCACATGGTGCAACACTCCCCCAATGAAAAGCAGGGGTGCCACGAGTACACCGAGAGACAACACAGTAAGTGTCCAGGGCTCAAGTCTGTTCAACTGCCTCCCAGCATACATAAGAGGAATTACCAATAGACCCCTGACTGTCTTCAAGAAGGTCCTGCACAGGCACTTAAAGTCAGTACCTGACCAGCCGGGCTGTGGTTCGTACATCAGTTTGTGTGTAGCCAGCAGTAACAGCCTGATTAATCAGACCCTGATCCACCACGAGGCCTGGTTTCAGACCGAGCCAGGGGGGCACTGACCCCCGGAACCCTCTCCAGATATACTCCAGGTATTCCACTTGCCATTTAGTTACTGGATCACAATTATTTGTAACACACCCCAATGCTACCCTAATAGCTAGAGTTTATGATGGCCAATGCAAAACTACTATACATTATGGGTAAGCATCACTTAGCTAAGGTGTGCTGCTGGAAAGAATCAGAGCCCTCTATTAATCCGTCCTTGTAGCTGAATTGTAAGGGTTTTCTATTCTATTTATCCTAATTCTTCAGAGGGAACGTGTCAGAAATTTCTAATTTAGGGATTGAGGCCGATATACACCAACTGAACTTCGATGATGCCTGATTACATTGCATAATCAACTGACCAGTATTCACGCATACAGTTCCACTTGGCGGCTGTTTCACATCCCCCCCCCCTCGAAATTTCTCGATGGGTCAAATCAGCATCACATTTTAACACACAATTACTATATTATTCAAATTTACACATGCTGATTTTAGGAAAATTTAAAATTTTCCAAAGATGCAATAGCCATTAACCTCAGATTCTCAAAGGCATCTCCATCGAAATCATTGGACGGGTCATCTTAGGACTAAGACCAGTGTCAATCAACCAACATTAGCGTTTCTGTGTGACTAGCTAATGGTCCAAGTCAGACCGAAACGTCACCACAAGTTTCATTCTCTCATGTGCGGATTATTTGCGTATTATACCCTGATGCTGCACACGTCTAATTCATCATTAACCAGAAATATACCACATATTATTTCCAGGAGAGTCTGCCTAGATATCTGATACATCATTCCTTCATCCTGGATTTGAATAATGAAGATATCTCTCCTCATTATTTTTCCATGAGAACCAAAGTCTATTTTATAGACGATGTGTAGATGACATTTTTATTGTGCAAGAGGGAAATTGTGTTAAGATGTTAAAATAACATTTAAATTCTCTGCCTAAAAATATTAAACTTTGGGGAGGTCAAAAATAAGTTATTTTTCCAGTTAACAAAGAAAATTATGTTTAGAGATTTCCGTGTGAAGTTTATAATTATTTATATTTCATGGTAGAATCTTTTAAATTCACTGTTATTAAATTTTGATTTTTTTTTTCAGTGGGTAAACTTTTAATTTGATTACTCACCATCCACACACTCTTTTTCTTTCCTCATGTTGAAATTCATGCTCACTCACTGTCCACGCTCCTCGCATGTTCAGACTCACGCTCAGAGTCAGAGTCAAGAGGATTTTCAGCATCTGTCACATTAGTCTGGGTAGCAATATCATCAACATCGCATACTAATTTCATATGATCTAAATGCGATTCTTTGTACTTACCAGTACTAATTTCTCTAACCTTATACTTATTACCAGAGATATGTTCTACTACCCGATAAGGTCCGACAAACTTTTGATCGAGCTTAGGCACTGCGGATGTTTTGTTGAAATTTGTCAGCATTACTTCTCGAACCTACTTTACTTTTGATGGCTTAGCACGGCTATTAGTTAATCTAGTAATTCTGCGTTGATTTATGAAGTGT